AAAAAATGTTTAAATATGCCATGCCTGTTTTCATCAATTGTTTTGTTTGTCTTCCAGACGATGGCAGCACCCCAGAAATTCATGCTGCGTGTTTACATTGCCACAGATATTGCAGTGAAAGTAACTTTGACTGGACGACCAGAATCAGTGGATGATCTAATTGCCATACTGCGAGAGAAAGTCAAACCAAGACTGGATTTTGAGTTTACCCTGCAGTATGAGGATGCAGATTTTAATGGACAACTGAGCTGTCTGATTGATATTCAAGAGTTACCAGAGAAGGGAACACTCAAAGTTGTTAGATCAGAATTTGCTACCAGCTCACTTCCAAGTTCTGATACAGAAATCCTTCCTCGTGTGCCTGTAAGCGAGCGTCGGAAGACCTGGCCTGACATTTTTCCTGTGCCTACTTTTTCCTATGAAGTCGAGCATGTGCTAGAAGAGGGAAATATTGCCTATGACAGATCTGGAAAGACACTGAAATTATCCAGGGCCCAAAAGCACAACATCCTAGAGAGCATGGCATCAGTAATCCATGGTTTCAAACCTTACCCAAGTGACAGGGATGTGGGTATGGCAGCAGAGGCTCTTGTTAAAGCTCATCCATCCCTTAAAGAACCTGGAAGTGAAAATGGATGGTATGGATGGAAGATAAGCCTTAAATTCAAAATGGGCAATTACCGTACCAAGCTAGCCAGATCTGGATGTCTGGAGGTGTCAGTCAACACAGACAGAAGAAGTAAGAACAATCCTGACAAAGACCCTCCCCACTCCAACATAAAACGAGCAAGACGAGCAGAAGTGAACTTCCTTCCAAATTTTCCAAAGGGACAAAACCAGGCCAGTTTGGAAGAAATGAGACTAGACATTCTACACGAAGTTGAGAAGAGTGAGAAAAACCTGTTGTTGATAGATAAACTTATGCAGGTGACATTTTCCCTTCGTCGCCAGGAGATTGTACAGGAAAACCCAATGTTGAAGAACTTCCTGGTGAAATGGCCAGCACTTCAGATTGAGTCGCAGGTAAAACATCTACATTTCTCTTTTCTGCCTCAACTTTAAATTATTTGTACGGCTCCAGCAAACACTAACAAACTAGTTTGTCAATGAGACTTTTGAACTATTGGGGTTTGTTGCTGTTTATTAGCATTTGTTGAAATTTGTTGAATATGTGTGAATTGGCCACTACTTAATCTTTCAAAGATAGCAAAAACTTTTTTGGAGAATAATGCTTAACTTCTATCAAGATGATTGCATTGTATGTTTCTCTAAGGCTGTTTTGATGTCATTTATACATTTTGGGTATTTATGATTTTGTAGGTTTGTGCAGAGTTTCATCGCATCACAAACACCAATCTTCGAAACCAGTTCTATGCCGAATTGGACAGGCATACGCCACAACTATTTGCCTTGTACAGGCAAAAAGCGTCACATACTGGCAAGGTCTCGGAGGTGCTGCGTGACATCCTCAGGATTTATGATCGTGAGGTGAGTTAAAGATAAAGACTGTACAACTCTAGTATCGAACCCAGAATAACTATGCTTGCTTGTTCATTGTTATTTTTGCTTGTCTTTCAAGGATATGCATGATATCAACATAAAGCGCACTGTAGTTCTTCGTGCCCTAGCAGTATATTTACGTGAAGATGACCCACAGTTTTTTAAGACATGGAATGTAAGTATTCAGTGCACTCACCAAACAGGATCAGTTTTTGTGCTTACCAGGG